CTCGTGTTCGATCCCTGCATTGGCCGACAACGTTCATCGGGATTTTCCGGCATGGTTCCTCCTTGTCAGTGGTGCAGGACCGAGGACATGGCAAAGGACAACGTATAGTCGTTCAATGGTCCCGTGTACACATTAGCGTGAACGTTAAAGATCCCTTGGCAGTTGGAATTCAATATAAGAGTAGGCCGTACCTCCGCTGTACGGGCAAAATGCCCCTCATAGTAGACTGTATGGCGTATGCCCGTCTTCATTAGCCCAGTGTAACGTCGTCCTGTGACAAGCGTATTTCCTGGTTTGCTTACCTACTCGACAGTTGACGCCAGTGTAACCCCGTGCTGCGCCACGCACTGACAAGCGGATATTCTGGTTAGCTTACCTATTTGACAGTTGACGCCAGTGTAACCCCCAGTACAAACACAGTTACTACACGTAGAATCAGCATCTCCATTAACGCCGCAGTCTAGATTACACACCGCAGCTGAAGAAAGCAAAAATATTTTCTCAAAAACTTTGAAATAAGGGCGATGTAAAGTGATATTAATCATTAATATAGTGTCGGATTTAAGACAGATGACACCCTGCGCTAGTTAAACATACATTATGCAAGAGCTAAATCTGCCTATTGCAGGTCTTTCGTTAGGCCTGAAATGTTATCTAAATTTTATTATTATTATTAATCAGACATTAATTAACTTATCCAGGCCATATTACCTCGGTTCAGAGTAAAGAAACTTGAGTGATATTTTCAGCATATTCTGTTTTCATTATCTATTTTGTAACTGTTATATCGAGAACTGTCAGCTCTTTATCTAATCGTACATAATGCCGATTTAAGCTATAGGCAAACTTTTGAATTATCAGGGAAGGTCCACCTCCTCTGCCTTTGTCACCGGCACTGACGCTTGGCATATAGGTAGTCTAAATTTATTTGTTAAGGCCAGCTCAATTTTCGTCAAAGTCGCTGAGATGTAAATAAGGGCATTGTTGGCGAGATGGTCCAGTGTTAGGTTTATATGGTGTTTATGCATTAATAATAAAAGGCCCTAAAACAGAACCCCGTGGCACACCATACTTTACGACAGCGAAGATGAATAGGAATCCTTCCATTATAACAACTGTCCGTGTAAGGTTTTTACAGTAACTAGAACTACTGAAAGGCTAGTCCACCATGTTTGTTATAGTGGAGAGAGAGAGAGAGAGAGAGAGAGAGAGAGAGAGAGAGAGAGGTGTTATTGTAAGCAGAATATCTAATACCAACCTCCGGTGATACATTGACAAGCTTGAGATCCGATATAGCCACCATTAGTACAGACAGTTTGACACACTGAAACAATTATAACATAATATAATTCTCAAAGATATACTATTGAATGGGAAATCTGATTTAACGTCCTGTTTTACTGCAGCAAGCGGGAAAATGACGATCGGACAGTGTGGACAAATTTTGAGGTCACAATCCAAAGATGACTACGATGACGTCATGGACCATAATTTTCGGTTTCTGTTTCATATAATACAATACGTCTGTAAGATTTCTTTAAAAAAAAAGAAATAACAAAGCACTGCAGGACTAAAGAGAGAAATGGGGTTTAACGTCCACTCGACACAACATTGCAGGACTAATGACGGACAGATAGGGTGGTATCGGGGTTGTGTTTGTGTGTTTTGCTTTACAAAGCGCTGCTGGATTAATGAAGGACGGACGGGGTGCTATTGAATGCACAGGGCCTCGTTAAATCCGACAAAACGCCTTATATTACCAGGCCCTCTATTCTACAGCAGTGACAAGGACGGAAAATCCCAAGTTAAAAACTTTCTCGGCCAACTGACAAGGGGAAACAACGTCGGAAAATCCCGATGAAATGAAATGAAATGGGTTTAAAGTCCTACTGTTCTGCTCCTATGCTGGGCTAATGAAGACGGGCATACGCCATACAGTGTGCTATGAGGGAAATTTTGCCCGGGCAGCGCTGCGGCCTACTCTTATATCGAATTCCAACTGCCAAGGTATCTTTTACGTGCATTCTAATGTATACACGGGACCTCGGTTTTTCGTCTCATCCGAAGGACTAGACAGCTGTCCTTGTCAGGCCCTCCGTCCTGTACCACTGACAAGGGGGAACCACGCCGGAAAATCTCGATGAACTTTCTCGGCCAATGCAGGGATCGAACAGCCGACCTCCAGGCTAGCGAGCCAGCGAAATCCCAATGAACTTTCTCGAACACCCGACCTCCAGGCTAGCGAGCCAGCGTCTTACCCACTTAGCCACTGTTTGAATAAAAGTGGTACACACGTTATACTAGTAGTTTACTGGAGCCGGATAAGTTCCTTGGTAAAAGGTCTTGAAATAGTGAAAACGCTCTGCACCGTGTACTACATCCACCACTGCATGAATAAAGCAGGGTAAGATTTCAAAAGTCATGACACGGTTAATCTAACTAAACTTCTTTAAAAATTTCAAAGACGACCTCAGAAGGTTGTTAAAACTATGAATCTTTTATGTTTAAGGTCGCCATACCTGTTGAACACGTTGGCCCTGTAAAACCTTCCTGGCATCTGCATTGACACGTTGATCGGTCGATTATACCGTTATTTTCACAGACAGTATTAGAGCATTCTGAAATACAGAAATCAACAGCCCAGACAGTATTAGACAATCCAAAATAAAGAAATCATCAATTAGAACATTCCAAAATACAGACATCATCAACTCAAGCATTTTAGAACGTTCAATAGTAAAACATCATCAGCTCAGCCGGTATCAGAACATTCCAAAATGCAAGACTCAACTCAGAACATTCTAAAATCGTCATCTCAGATAGTTTTAGAACGTTCTAAAGTCATGTTTTAGAACATTAAAAAATCATCAACTTCGGAAATATTAGAAAATTCTTAAATGCGGAAATCATCAACTCAGGCAATATTAAAAGATTTTAAATTCATCATCTCGGAAAGTATTAGATCATTCTAAAATATTCACCCCAGACGTTTTTAGAATATTCTCAAATTACTATCGTAGACAGTATTAGAAAATTCTTAAATACGGACATCATCAACTCAGAATATTTAGAATCATCAACTTAGTATTAGATCACTCTAAACTCATGAAACTACGCAGTGCGCGCCTGTTCCATTTAGAATCATCATCTTGGACTTATTAGATCACTCTAAACTCATGAAACCACACAGTGCGCGCCTGTTCCATTTAGAATCATCATCTTGGACTGTATTAGATCTCTCTAAAATCATGAAACTATCAACTTCGCGCACCTGTCCCACGGCTAATGATAATAGACTATGTATAAGATAAATATTAATGATGCATTATTTAAGATTTAAATAAGTTGTTGACAGTTCTCAGTATAAAAGTTTCAAATGGATAATGAAAATACATATCTTGAAAACGTCAGGTTCTGCGCGAAGTTACCAGTTTAATTATTGTCCTTGTTGCCATAGTAAATAAACTCTTGATTATTTTTTTACATTTAATTATTAAATGGTGATCCCGTTTCAATCCATTATAAATCGCGACCACCCGATTCGTCTAGAGAGTTGAGTATGGGATTGCCATGTGATAAATATCAAATCAATATTTATACAAGATTTGAGACCAAAGGAAAGACTTGAAAAGGTAATTTTAAGCAAACGATTTATTTGAAAAAGACTTCTTTGGGTCTATTATTTAACTTATATAAAAAAAACCTTCAAAACCAAATTATATAAAGTATGATAACTTACGGTCTGGACAGAGGTCACATGTGATTGGACAATCAGCCTTTATGTTGTCAAAGTTACAGTTAGTTGGGTTTAGAACTGAACAATAACTTTGAAGATTTGTTGCTGGACAGGTTACTGAAAGGTAATAAAATATAAACATACATGTAACTATTCATTTTATCATCAATCTGATTCAAATACAAATCTACATTTCGTTTCGTTTATTTATAATTTCGATGGCCTCTACTACAGGTCATACGAGCGGCTTTAAATAACACGCACATTAATGATCCGGACTTTATATGGACTTTCTGTATGCCAAATGCACATGATGAACCGTAGTAACAGATGTCTTAGAAATGGAATGAAATGAAATGGGGTTTAACGTCCTACTGTTCTGCTCCTAACCTGGGTTAATGAAGACGGGCATACGCCATACAGTGTGCTATGAGGGAAATTTTGCCCGGGCAGCGCCGCTATGACCTAATCTTATATCGAATTCCAACTGCCAAGGGATCTTTTACGTGCACGCCAATGTGTACACGGGACCTCGGTTTTTTCGTCCCATCCGAACGACTAGACAGCTGTCCTTGTCAGGTCCTCCATCCTGCATCACTGACAAGGGGGAACCACGCCGGAAAATGATTCTAAGTACAATATGTATATTAAATGTACATGTAGGCTGACCCCAAAAAACACAGAACCCATAAAATCTTTTTAAAAATCCTACAAAGGTTCAGCAAATTTCTCTTAGGGGATTTCCCTGAGTAACTCAACGATAACGTGTACCAGAACAACCCTCAAACGATTGGTGAATTGAAGGCAGCAATCACAGCAAAAATCAGGGAAATCCCCAAAGAGGAATGTATTCGAGTAATTGACAATTTTGCGTAACTTATGCCAGTTTGCCTCCAACGCCGTGGAGGCCACTTTGATAATATTTTGGAAAGCAAGATAACTGAAACTTTGGGGAATGATCGTACACAGATTGAAGTTTAAGTCCAACAAATTTGATGAAATTTGCTGGACCTTTGTAGGCTTTAATAAAAAATTATGGGTTCTGTTTTTTGGGTAACCCTGTATTACAAATATTGGAATCATAAATACTTTTTTTTGAGGGGAGACGAAGACCAGTAAATCATAACTGAGTTTATTTTCCTCAAGAATCTCAGCTATAAATGGGGTGACTGTCAGTTTGTTTTGTATTATTAATATTATATTTTTTATCAGGGGGGTGGTGGTGGTGGAGTTGCTGGTGGAGTTGCTGGTATTAGAAATAATATCACTTACGAATTTCGCAAGAATCTCCGCTATAAATGGGGAAACAATCACATCTACACGTGTCTATGTTAAGTTGTCCTCCATTAACACACACTGTCCCACCACAAGCTGAAACAAATAAATCAATAATACATCATGAGCTATGAATATATTGATAACACTGTATTCTTAATGTTTGAGAGAGAGAGAGAGAGAGAGAGAGAGAGAGAGAGTAGTCTTGTTGCGCTAGTTTAGATTTTAGTTATTAGTTTATAACCAATAATCCCCATAAATTGCACATGCTCTGGCATGATGTCCACTATTAAGCTACAGATTATGCTCCAAGGACTATAATATATCTCTTAATTATCAATCTTCTATTTTAATAATTTTATTTTATACACCTGTTTATGAGTTTTAAATCCACATGTCTGTAGCTTGCCTGTACACCTTTTATAATCATATTACAAAGCGTATTGGAGTTCAGTTTTCTAGAAGTGGCGCTATATAAGAAAATAACACAGTGGGGATGACATACTTACCACAAAGCCCTCCTATGCAGGTAGTTGGACAGCTTGAACACGATGGACCACTCTGATAGGGTGTTGGGACCTCATTACCAAATTGTCTGAAAAGGAATCCGAAATGGCACCATTTTGTACTGATTTATTATTTGAAAATGAAATGGGGTTTAACGTCCTACTGTTCCGGCTGGGCTAATGAAGGCGGGAATAAGCCATACAGTGTGCTATGAGGGAAATTTTGCCCGGACAGCGGCGCTAAGGCTACTCTTATATCGAATTCCAACGGCCAAGGGATCTTTTACATGCACGGGACCTCGGTTTTTCGTCCCATCCAAACGACTACATAACTGTTCTTGTCAGGCCCTCTGTCCTGCACCACTGACAAGGGGGAAACCACGCCGGAAAATCCCGATGAACTTTCTCTACACCTGGATGGAACCCGCGACTTCCAGGCTAGAGAGCCAGCGTCTTACCCACTTAGCCACCGTGGCTCCCTTACTATTTTATATGTGTCATATACGTACCCTCTTGCATAATTACAAATATACACCTTTCTTGTTCCACAAGTAGCACTACCACAGCCCATTCTAGACACGGCAGAATTCACAATCTACAACACGTAACCAAATGAAATAAAATGAGGTTTAACGTCCTACTGTTCTGCTCCGACTTTACTATTTGAAAATGAAATGGTGTTTAACGTCCTACTGTTTTCTGCGCCGGCTGGGCTAATGAAGACGGGCGTCCGCCATACAGTGTGTTATGAGGGAATTTTTCTCGGACCGCAGCGTTAAGGTCTACTCGTATATCGAATTCCGACTGCCAAGGGTTCTTTTACGTGCACGCCAATGTGTACATGGGACCCGGGTTTTTCGTCCCATCCGAACGACTATATGTTGTCCCTTGCCCTCTGTCCTGCACATAGCAGGAGGTTAAAGGCGCATTATGTAAGAGCTAAATATGCCAATTGTAGGTCTTTTTTCTAGCTTCAAATCTTATATGAAATATGATTTAGACATTAATTCACATGACAACCCTAAAATTAACTCTCTAAGTCATCGATCTAAATCGTCAATACTATATACCGGAAAACACCGAAAAACACCGGAAAACAACCGGAAAACACCATTTTATACTGTTTTCCGGTATATAGTATAGTCCATGTAAATGGATTTGAACACCCGCCAGATCGTTATTATCATTTAGACATTTATTGATATGGTAAGTCCATAATCAACTCTCTATGTCGGGGATCACGTGGCTAAGTGGGTAAGGCACCGGCTCGCTAGCCTGGTGGTCGGGTGTTCGATCCCTGCATTGGCCGAGAAAGTTCATCCAGATTTTCCGGTGTGGTTCCCCCTTATCAGTGATGCAGGACGGAGGGCCTGACAAGGACAGCTGTCTAGTCCTTCGGATGAGACGAAAAACCGAGGTCCCGTGTATATATTGGAATGCACGTAAATGATCCCCTGGCAGTTGGAATTCGATATAAGAGTAGGCGATAGTGCCGCTGCCCGGGCAAAATTTCCCTCAAAGCACACTGTATGGCGTATGCCCGTCTTCATTAGCCCAGTATAGGAGCAGAACAGTAGGACGTTAAACCCCCTTTCATTTCATTTCATTTCAACTCTCTAGGCCAATGATTCTCAACCAGTGTGCCGCGAAATTTTGAACGGCACACCAAGAATATGTTAAAAACCACGTGATCCGAGAATTCACTGGTGTCTACTGATAAGTTTATATAGCTGTGTTTTTCTTTATTTAGTTTGAGTCATTCAGTGTGTCTATGACTAGCATCTGTCTACGGTTGTATTCCGTTTGACTTGCCATGTTTTTATTTTGCAAAATTCAAATATTTTTCATATATATTTAGCCAGGTGTGCCGCTATTTTTTCATGTGTTCCATGGTGTGCCGTTGGCTAAAAAAAAGGTTGAGGGCCACTGCTCTAGAGCATCGAATGGCTTAAATATTGGATGGATTGTTAATTTAACGATAAAATAGATATTCCAGACATCCAGACTTTGTTTACTGTCGTAGCAATGGTTCTTGACAATCGAGACTATCTCATCAAAACTTTAATCACTCATAACTTCGCTTAGAATAAAGTAAATCCAGTAAAAATATCAGTACATTTATTTCCTATCTAATTTTTAATAATTATAACAAGAACGGCTAGCTCTTTATCTATATTTAAAACATTCGACACTTTCAAACAAGCTGACACAGTTGTTACTTTTATAGTAGGCGGTCATAATATAAATATTGAAATGCAGTTAGCTATAATCGCTATACATTAGTAGGTTCAGATCAAGCTAATTGGACCAATATCTCTTAAACATACATTATGCAAGAGCTAAATCTGCCTATTGCAGGTCTTTCTTTAGGACTAAAATGTTATCTAAATTATTAATTAGACATTAATTAACTTATCTAAACCATATTTGCAAGTCTTTCTTTAATCTTAATTATTAATTAGACATTTATTAACATGACAAAACCATAATCAACTCTCGATGCCATCGGATACTCGAGATTTTAACTAGATTAGAACGGTTAGCTATATTCAACAATTTAATTTAAGAATGGGAAAGCCAGGCTAAGTCTCCAATATACCATAGCCCTGGTTGCCACAATGCACACATCTTGTCAAAACTACAAACAGTGATACATTTTCTCAGAATAGAGTAATTTGAGTGAAATTTTCAATATTTTCATTTTACATTATCTATTTTTGAGCTATTATAACAAGAATGTTCAGCTCTTTATCTAAATCTTACATAATGTATCTTTAATAAGCCCAGCATCCAGGCCTGGGTAATCCACTCTAGTATTGTCTAGTAATATGCAGTTAAAGATAAATTATGGGATATCAGATAACGAGTTGGCAGTTCTCATTATAATACATGTAGTTAAAAACTAGATAATGTAAAGGCAATTTTAGGAAAATTTCAGTCAAATTGATCCACCATGAACCAAGAAATAAGCGATCGAAAGTTCCGCATAGCCTCGGTCACCATTACTAAAGTCGGCACGACAAAAATCATAGCCTCGATTATCCATTTAATCGTTTAATCGAGAAGGAAAGTTAGGCAGCAAATCGGATCATAATCCAACAATTATCGCAGGCTAGCGTTGACATCGAGAGTTGATTATGGTCTGGATACGTTAACTAATGTCTAATTAATAGTTTATATAACATTTCAGGCCTAAAAAAAGACCTACAATAGACAGATTGAGCTCCTGCATAATGTATGTTTAACTAAAATTGCTTTGCTTTAGCGGGATCGGCTTTAAGCTTATCGGACCAATATGGCATAACCGTACCTAGCGCCTAAAAGGGGGCCAAGACAAGGATAATTCAATGTCAAGCAAAACCGCTTTCATTTCACTAAAACAGGCCCTAGCTGTGAACACGGGCGCTCCCCCCCTCCCCAAATGTTCCCACAGTTTCTAAGGCCAGTCCTGTTTTTAACTTATATTTGCTTATTATGTTTAATGGGATCTAACCTGTGTATAATGTCCAACTTCTCCACCAATTGAACCTACACCATAACTAAAATCATCCACTTCATCATACCAGGCCTGGTTAGCGGCGGCGAAATCGGCGAAACTACCAGCGGCATTCTGTCCAATAAACATCCCAGGTATAGCTGTAGGATATCAGAAAATAAATGTGTCTTACACTCTTTAAGTCAAGTTCTTGATGACAACACTGGTTTAACTTCATTTGATACTTTTATTGTTCTTCAAACATATCAAGTACAAAACTTAAGACTTCGTAATTAGCTTGTGTTGAGGGAGCCATGATCCTAGCTTGGCTTGACATCCTTGGGTGCCAACTCCCAACTAACTTACATGGCCCCTGTTCGGTCTTATCTCAGTTTGATTCAGCTTATAGACAAAGGATCATCGAAGAGATTGTGCATTTACATTTATACACCTATAATAACGGTAAATCTCTTGGATCTTTGGGGTATATTCTATGCACGGAATAACTTGCGGTCTGGAAGTCGGGGTGGCTTTGTATATATACAGGGAAATTTGGGGTTATTCTTCTAAAAGTTTTTCTTTAAACCTATAACGGGCTATTCTTCCAGTGTAGTGTTTTTCCATAAGAAAACATGATATATGGTTGTTTTCTTACTGGATATTCTCATTTTACGTACATGTAAACATAGTGGACTAAATCTAAGAAGTTTTTAGAACGGCAATCGATGCTGGGGGTTTTAGTGGGGACGTTTTATTCGTCCTATCCAACCGCCGACCATAGATTGATATTGTCACTTACTTGGTACAGCTCTTTGGTCTGAGTCAGCTTCATGGCCTACAGAACACTGTCTGGCCCATTTGGATGCTACAATAGCTAGCTTTTCATCCCATACCTACCGAAAATAGTTTAACACATATCTCTTAAAATAACAAAACGACTCTACTATATGAACCATGGTAAAAGCTAAGGTCCAGTGCAGATTTCGTCATAGGTCAGAGGATGTACATATGTTTAGGGCATGCTATTGTTGACGAGATTGTGGGTTAGCGTTAGCTCTAGCCCTAATCCTAATCGTAACCCTAACCCTAAGTACACCTCGTGGCCTATGACGAAATCTGCAATGGGTCTTAGTTTTTAGCCTTAACCATACCAACCAGGAACAGACCATCTTGGAATTTTGATGTCATTTAACAAATCCATGTGCAAAAAGTCCAACGAACAAGCATGCTAAGTTGAATCTTGATCATTGTCGAATTGGTGAAGCCATAGCCTTTTTTGAAGAGTTTCATCCAAAATAGAAGACGGTTACCAAGTGTAGAGGTTAAACTTTTGATCATTAAAGATTAGCATCGCTCGTAGTTCATTATCAACTAATAAGGAGTTGGATCGCCTATCCAACCTCGTGGGTTTTCTCAGGGTCCTCACCAGATCAAGATAACCGTTGGTTAGGGTTATGGTTCCTCTGCAGATATAGGCAACCGTTAGTGGAGTTCCAGATTCCTCCATGGTTTGGCGACATCAGGTGGATAGCATTAAGCACGATTCATTTAAATCTAAACTTTATAACTCGTTATATTCAGTTTACCTAAAATCTTTATGTAATATTAGAATAATTTCTTTCTAAAAGAAAGTAAACTTACAACTTGAAGCATATCTGTGGCCGTTGGACTTACTCCAGCTCGAAAGGCATTCGTCTGGGCAACTAGTGCATCCCTTTCAGCTTGAGTCATTGGTATGGCCGTTCCAACATCTACCAGGCACATTGTATGGTCTGGGTGAATGCTCGAATATTCTGGATTACAGTTTTCCTGGAATAAAAGAATTAATTTTAAACTTGGGTTGAGATGAAATGGTTGCAATCCACAATGGATGTATGTCCCGAACCGCGGACTCCATCAAAACACCATATTTAAATAAACATGTGTTTGAACCTATGATAGTGTTATGACCGGGACTGACGGGCTGATAACATCGCCAAGTTATAGAAAAGATTTAAGATAAGAGATCATCCATCTGGAGATGCTTTTGATCTATTGTTGGAGGTATAGTTTTAACGCTGATAGTCGGTATTTAAAGATACCCTGTCACCAAAGTATTTATTCTTGAGGTTATGTCCAATAAAAGTATAGCAAATGTAGTATATATAGAAAGAATAGACATCCAATCTTTCTAGAAAAATACCCATGGGGCAACAATATTATGGTATCACTAACTGGCAATCCGACTGATATCTGCCAGCTTATAGCGTGCTAGCTCAAATGATGTGGCGGTTTTGGGAACATTGAGGGGTGTTAACGTACAAAAGACTCTGCAATTGAAGGGAGGAAAAGGTAGTTGACAGAAAATAATTAAGAATTTACATAGGCCTCAATATGTATGGTAAATGTACAGTAAGTAACGATAAATAATTCTAAAAAAAAAGGGACCCTCCCACAATAATTGAGCTGGTCGACATGACATCTAACATTAGTTTATTTATAGCTTATGTATGTTCTGATGAATACAAAGTTTTGAGAGGGATTTGAAGCAAAATTATGATAGATTAATTAGTTTAAATATGTTTTTAGTCCAAATATATCATTAAATCACACAGTTAATTTTTAAAGAGTTTAAATCGATTGCTAACTAAAAGGAATACCAGTCCAGTAATGATTCCATTACGTTTATTGTTTACGAGGATATAACGAAATAAATAAACCTTCCGCAACATTCATCGTATGTGTTAGGATAAAATCTTTAGATGTCATGACTCTTTTTTTTTATTGTATGCATACACGGAGACTTAGCGAGAGGGAGGGAGAGAGAGAGAGAGAGAGAGAGAGAGAGAGAGAGAGAGAGGTTTTAACGTCCATTCGACTCAAACTAGGTCATTTCGGGATTAACATATGTTTTTTAAAATTTTATTTCAATAATTCACTTGCGCGTAGGGGACTTTAGGAGTGGGAGGACCCGTAGCAAACCCACGAGGTTGGACGGGCGACCCTACTGCTTGTCACGTACAACCGGGGGGAGACTTAGCATTTCGACTAAGTCGTCAAATATTATGTAGTATCCGACAAATGCATGATCGGGATCGGTGATTGCTAATAAATCTACCATTACCCTAATGACTCATAAATAATTGACGGTCGCCATTTCATCAGAATTCTGTGAATTTATCTAAAGTATACTGTAATATCTTAATTTTGTACTTTTGTAAGAGTGGGTCCGGTTGTGTGTGTGTGTGTGTGTGTGTGTGTGAGGGGGGGGGGGTAACGTACACACGGGATTAACACATGGTTCAATTGTATTTCATTACTTCGCTTGCGAGTTGGGTTCTTTAGCAGTGGAGAACACCCACGATTTTGGACAGGCGGCTCTACCCCATGTCACGTACAACCGGGGAATCGAAACCACGTCAGTTGACTCAATGACAGACCTTATGATGTTAGTCCCGATATGACCTAGTTTGTGTCGAGAGGACGTAATTAGTGAGCAGAAATTCGCCCATGTATCTGTTAACACTCGTCACTTCAGTCAGTTATATAGAGGGATAACTCGTGTTTTCCTTTTGCGTTAGTCACTTCCGATTGTTCAAGCATCGATTACGAATCTATCGTAGCAATGATCTCTGTGATAAAATAGTATTTGGAACGTGTTTAACCAGTTCTATCACATATGTGATAATGACTGGCACCAATATTGTACTTTAAACTACATGTATGTTGTTCTTAATTGGTAACTATATTGACTATTGTAGCACATTTTTCGGGTATGTTAACTGGTATTTATACTGATTATTGTAGCACAACTATTCGTGTATGTTTACTAGTAATTATACTGACTATTGTATGTTTACTGGTAATTATACTGAGTATTGCAGTCCGTCATTTCATGTATGTTTACTAGTAATTATACTGACAATTGTAGCCCGTCATTTCATGTATGTTTACTAGTAATTATACTGACAATTGTAGCCCGTCATTTCATGTATGTTTACTAGTAAGTAACCCGTGTTTTATATATGTTTAAGTGTAATTATATTGACGATTGTCGCCCATGTTTTATGTATGTTTACCGGTAATGATACTGGTCCTTTTTTTAAAATGTCTGTTTACTAGTAATTGTACTTACTGCTCTGTCATGTATGTTTACTAGTAATCATACTTACAATTGTAGCCCGTTTTTTGCGAGATAATAATTGTCCTCCATGTGTTCTTGTGTCGCTCTCTACTTTATCATCGTGCTCATCTGGAATAAAACAAATCAAGATAAAATGAAATCTTATACCTACCCACGCCCCCCCCCCACACCCGCGCTTCCTAGACAAGGCAACATGGCATGTATCCATCCAAACCTGGCAGTATTGTTGTTTAACCTTGCACTTAAACAAGGAGTAGGGTCGCCTGTTTAACCTCGTGGGTTTCCCCCGGCTCCTCCTGTTTCTTCCCATTGCTAAAGACCCCTATGCGAAAGCGAATTATTGAAATAGAATTGAACCATATGTCTGTCCCGAAATGACCTAGTTTGTTTCGAGTGGACGTTAAACCCCATTTCTCTTTTCCCTATTCCAATTTGTTCAAATATATAGCAAGGATAGTACGTGGCAACTTGGAGGGAAACGCATTTTCAAAATCGGTGAATGGAATTTAGCTGTTAGAAACCCTCCTTGTGTGACAAAGACATACATCAAATGAAATACAAGAGCTGAAACCCAAAGTGGACTGGCAAGGACAGAAAAACCAGTTTGGGACAAACTTCGACAATTTGGACCAGTTCAACTTCTCCTAAACCGCAGCTTGTTTTGGGAGCTTTATGTGGTGCTAAATCGTACTTGTTCGGCCCCCAAAAGAGAGAGAAATGGGGTTTAACGTCCACTCGACACAAACTAGGTCATTTCGGAACTAACATATGGTTCTATATTATTTCAATAATTCGCTTGTGCGTCGCGACCCTACTCCTTGGGACGAACAACCGGAGAATCGAACCACGCTTGTTGACTCGATGACAGATCTTATGATACAGTGAGCACGTGCTAACCATTCGGCCATCTCTCCCCTCCCCACCCACCCATCGGCCTCAAGAAGACAAAGTTATACAATTTGAAATTCATTCGAAACATGAAACAGTTGATATGCAGGAGTAGCGCTTGTAGGGGTGACATATAGCGTGTTACGTAGTACTTCGGATGGGTCGACAAACCGGGGTCCATCCGTGTGTACACTTGAGTACATTTAGAATTCGATAATACATTGAACACATGTCCACAGAAAACACACACACTTTATTACTAAGTGCAGGAGGACCCCACCACACATAAACAATTACACAAGACAAACCCATGGACATACACAGACATTTCTAACAAAATGACATGAAATGAAAACGATATAGCGTTTAACGTCCTACTGCTCTGCTACTACTGGGCTAATGATGACGACAAAAATTAAAACAATAAACAATGAAATGAAATGGGGTTTAACGTCCCACTGTTCTGCGCCTATACTTGGCTAATGAAGACGGGCATACGCCATACAGTGTGCTATGAGGAAAATTTTGCCCGGACAGCGGCACTACGGTCTACTCTTATATCCAATTCCGACTGTCAAGGGATATTTTACGTGCACGTCAATGTGTACACGGGACCTCAGCTTTTCGTCCCATCCGAACGACTAGACAGCAGTCTTTGATGAACTTTCTCGGCCAATGCAGGGATAGAACACCCGACCTCCAGGCTAGCGAGCCAGCGTCTTACCCGCGTAGCCACCGTGACCCCATGAATGTATCCGCTGCGTTGTCTGGTCACAGGCTGCAGTCTCAATTATTGTGTTAACGTGACGTTGGGAGACCGAGGGGTTTAACGCGTGTACTTTGCATCATACGGTTTGTCATTGAGGCAAATGGCGTGGTTTCGGTTCACAGCTTGACGTAAGGTCGCCTGTCCAACCTCGTGAGTTTTCTCCCGGACCTCCGGTTTCCTCCCACTGCTAAAGACCTCTACGCACAAGCGAATTATTGAAAATTGAAAAAAATTCTAACCATGTGTTAGTCCCGAAACCACGTAGTTTGTGTCGCGTGGACGTTAAACCCTATATTTTCCTCTCTCCATTCGTATTCTTTCTTATATCATTTGGTTGGGAAGTTGGGAGGGGGGCAATGATTTACCGCGACTGCTTTAGGTCATATGTTCTATCACTGAGTCAGGTGGCGTGGTTTCGGTTCATAGTTTGTACGTAACAAGAAGTAGGGTCGCATGTCTAACCTCGTGGGGTTTCTCCGGGTCCTCTGTTTTCTCCGTCTTCATTAGCCCAGTCGGTACAGACAAGTAGGGCGTTAAACGCCATTTTATTTCATTTTCTCCGGTTTCTCCCAGTCTTAAAACCCCCTTATGGGCCGGCAAGCAAATTATTGAAATAAAACTATATGTTAATCCCGAAATTACCTATTTTAAGTCAAGTGGACATTCAACCCCATTTTTCTTCCTGTCGCCCATATTTCATTTTCTCCGGTTACCTCCCAGTGTTAAAGCCCCTTATGGGCCAGCAAATTATTGAAATAAAACCAAACTATGTGTTAATCCCGAAATGACCTATTTTGTGTCAAGTGGATATTCAGCCCCATTTCTCTCTCTGTCTCCTATATTTGTCAAAGTAAATTAAACTTTAAGATATATGTTAATGGCTCATCGCTGTCTATTGATATCTCTTTTAATATTAACATGTATTAAGAACAGAAAGTACATTTACCGCGC